CTTGTAGATGCAATACTGCACTACTGCACGCAGAAGAAGAAGAAAAAGAAGAAAGGGAAGTCGGGGAAAGACAAGACAAAGAAGAAGAAAGATGCAAAGCCGCCAGCAGAGGAGACAGAGGCACAAAGGCAGAAGCGTGAACAGAAGGAGGATGAGGAACGACAGAAAGCGGAGAAGAAGGCTGAGGAGGAAAGGAAGAAGCAAGAAAAGAAAGAGCTAGAGGAAAAGCGGAAGGAGGAGGAGAAACAAAAGAGGGAGACACTGAAGAAATCAACTGGGAAAGTCAGACAGGCCTGCAAGCGTTGGCTCAATCTTTATTTCCTAATTCGACCTTGATTGATGAGTAATTTAATTTTGCTGTGCATGCATGCATGCATAGGTGACATGTGACACATAGTTTTATTAATTCACAGTGTGCTAAAACGATTGTAACAACTGCATTCCAGGTAATTGGGAAGCTGAACGCTGCAATTTCCAAGTCCTCCGTCTTGAAGGCGAAGGCCGACAACATGTCCAAACCTCAAGTGTATAAGGTTTGAAGTGGGCTCACACATGTCCAGTGAATGAGGTCTGATAACCTTCGAAGACTCTTCTTGGAGGAGATGAAGCCCCATGTCTCTGCTATGAGTTCATACCGGACAAAGCTACAACACCTTGTGGACACTGCGAAGGCGCAGCTAGAAATCTTACCAATCGTTGGCTAGTACAAGCAATGGGACACAACGCTTCATTGCTTTCCTTTTCCTGTCATTCCTATCAGCCACTACTATCAGCTGTGATGTGAGATTTAAAACATGTCTAGCCTGGCCTACCCCAAACGAGGCTGGTGATGAAGCAAAGCTCGACAAGTACTCAGAGGATACTTCAGTGATTGCCAATTTTAACCAGTTCCTCTCGGACAATAACATGAAGTGATGGGATCAATGATGCCAACATTTTTGGTGCTGGCAGAAAGTTGAGGGTGGGGTGAACCTTAGGCCTTGGCAAATGCAAATGAGCCATTTGCTTTAGGGGGGCTAGGGATTGTGAGGGCCACAGTGGACTTACTGGGATGCGTTTCAAACATGAAAACATGACGACCCATCCATGGATGTCCTTTGCTCGTTGCTGTGGCCCCGTGCGATTGAAAGATGCTGTGCCAGCTCTTTGCCCACCTGAGGCGACCACATGCCAGCATGAACGGGGTTCTTTGAGTTGAAAAGCGTAATCAGACTTCCAAACATGCCATGTCCATGTCCTGTTCCAACTTCATAGGACCCTTTGCACTGCGCATGCATGCCACCTGACCTGACCTCGTATCCTGGAGGTGGTAGAGATAGAACGAGAGCTCATGATCAAGATGAAGAATGTGCTTTTGTTCTGGAACAACAAATTGACAGCGTAAGTCGAGGGGTTACTTGGCCTATATGCTAGCTTATTCTTCTTCGACTGTCGAAAGCTTTCGATGGCCCTGCCTGCGACTCCTGAGGCAAGCTCTACTCATGAAGCGATGCGGCAAGTCAGAGCTCACTTGAAGGTGCCTCGGCTGCTCAGGCAGAAGTGCTGATCTCTGACCATTGCTATCAGATCAATCTGGAGGGGCTAAAGGAATCTACCATGTATGCTTGTGGGGTATCTCAGAGTGGCCCATGTTTCCTGAGGAGTCAGGAGATTGTGCCCATCCAGATTCTACAATTTAGGTTCAAAATCAGGGTGGAATGACAGCCGAGACTTCTGGTCGATGACAGAAATTCCAATTGTGCCCTGCCTCTATTGGGTCATTTTTGGGTCGTGCGCAAAACTATCTCGAATTCATATTCAATTCACCACTATCAGGAAAAATTGAACAAAGAAATCGTTGTGTCCTTGAGCACAAACATCATATTTATGCAAACCAAGTCAAACCAAGGAGATGAACTGGCATCGTGTACCCATCAAAGATCCGAAGAATGAGAAGAGGGTAATATTTGAGAACCAACCAGTACTATATCCACATCAGGTGCTGGACTATTTGTTCAACGTGGTTTGTATGGACCTTGACCTTAGTGACCGTCAGCAATTTTGGCGGCATGCTCGGAATAACATGGAAAGTTGGGCAGTTCTCCATCCTGCGAGTGATGGCCACCATCCGGTGGGACTGTATGGGGATTCAGCCCGCCTGAACACCCAGAACAAGGCTGAGAAAATATGTGGGATCTTTTTATCCCTAGTGCTTTTCCGACCACGGAGTGTACGATTCTCACGATTCCTTTTGTGGAGTTGTGACAGCCTCAAGTTCTTCAAGAACAGAACAACCAACCATGTACTTCGAATCATTGTATGGTCCCTTTGGCATTGCTTCAGAGGAGTACACCCCAGCTTTGATTTGCATGGCCACCCCATCCAATCAGACAAATCTGGGAAACAACTGACGCCAAAGAAGGACATGTTTGCAGTGGTGGAATATAGAGGAGATTGGGAGTGGCATAAACAAATCTGGCGCTTTGATTCATCATGGAAATCAGCTGATCGTGTCTGCTACAGATGTTTTGCCAACGCTCAATCGTATCATGATACTTCACCGCATGCGCAGTGGATGTCACAAGAAATTGGGGTACTGGAGTTCTTCATACACCGCCTGAAGGACAAACACATATGTGACTCGGCTGTCCGTATATGATATACATGTTGAGCTTGTGGGGCGAACAACCTAGAGACCATCCCCAAATTCCCGTGACTCGTAAAGCAGTGCAGTGTGTTGCTCAAGAAACCTGATCTCACATCTGAGGCCCTTTGGTATTTTTGGATGGCTTCCACCCGCAACTTTTGCGGATTTGCTCAATGCACACCTTGAATTTAGGCTTACTGTTTTCTTGCAATGGCGCCAGCTTGCTACTTGGCAAATTTGGGTGTTCCAACAATTTTGTGCAATCCACCTTACCCCTAGCACATGGAATTCCAACCCACTGCCCCCTGCAAAACTGCTGCCATGGCACAAACCAGGCCAGCTTGTCGATGAGGACCATGACCATGTGTCAACAGTCAGTGCCATGAATGGGGCCTATATAAGACCTTTTCTATAAATACCATCTAAACACTTTAGGGGGCATACCGGGTGCTAGGCCCTATTCATGGCACCAACTTGTCCTGCAATTGGTGGCAGCCAAGGGTGATGCTGTGTGAAGAGCTGCAATGGTATGGACCAGGACCCTTTCAGCGTCAATTGGATCAGGCCTATGGTGACTTTATCTCATTCTGCAAAGCCCGGAAGATACCCCATTCTCAACCTCCCTGGACAACCAAACTGGAATCTTGGCATGACTCACAAATGATTGAGGATTCCTTGTTCTCTAACATATTAATTTTTGAGCACTCAGCAAAGTGATGTGGGAACGTCTTGAACCAAGAGTGTGAGTATTTATGAGCATGAGCATGGCTGAGGTGAAAAAGAAATCAGGAGACATACTCATGACTGCGAAGGCCTACAATGGAAGATGCATTTTGGAATTCCTCGCCTTTGAACTGGAGAATTGCCATTGCCAGTGGTACCTATCCCAACAATCAACGGCTTGCCTTAGCGGCAGTTTGCATGTGCCTAGCCTGACATGCATTGTATTCAAAATAAGCTGAAACCTGGGCCCACCATCAATAAAAACGTTGTGCCAAATGGTGGTAACCTTTCTACAAAGAACAGGTCTTCAAATTCCATTGATCTACAAAAGGTCACTTTGCGTTTGTTTGTTTCTCAGGGTCTGAGTCTATTGCTGCAATTCCCAACCCAATCAGTCCTTAGAGTGATGATCACCACCACTTTCCAAGGAGGGCCATGACCCGCTTCTACTTCTTGACAGAGACCAATGGGCGGCATTTGACTCTTGTTGTCAAGTCATTGTACGTTCTTCTTCAGGTGTTGATGGATGTTGATGGGGCGCTAGGGTCGTATGTTAGCTATCAGTTGTCTAAGGACAAGAGATCTACAGGTTTTGAGTGTAAGGTGTGCACTTTTGGTATGATGTTTGTTTCAATTGTTTCGATGTATATCACATACTCCCGTTATGTCCTTCCGTCTGACTGTCAGGGCTGGATATCATCAGTTCCTGATGCGCCCAAAGTATCATGCTTCTTGTCATTCAACGAGTTCAAAACAAAGGTCTCTATGTGACCTGACGGAGGTGTCATGCAAGCTTAGTCATGCTGTGCTTGCACTTGTGTGCAAAGAAACCTGCCAAGATGATGCTTCACCTGTGCCATGACATGAAGAACCACAGAATCTATTCTGAATTCCTGTGATTGGCAATGCACAAGTGTTCTTGTGTTGACAGTTGGTGAGAGCACTTCTCAAGTGTGCATCATCCACTGGATGTTGCAAGGATCCAACTGCCGTTACTGGCACACATTTATCGACGAAGACGCTATGCGCTGGCTAAAATGCTACTCGGTCGTTTGTGTGAAACGTGAAGATTGGGCATGACATTGTTGGTGGTTGCACCCTGTGCTGCTCCTGTGTGGTTTGTGTAGCCTGAGGCGTTGGAAGTGCTTCTTCCTTCAAGAACAGAGGGAGGAAGGTCTTGCGCTGTGGAAAGCTTCGAATGCGTTCCATGATGGGCAAGATGAAGTGGTGTCTTGGCTTGAATTTGCGATGAACTTCAACTTCAGGTGGTTAAGAATGCATAAGAATAATATGTTTTTCATCTAAGGCTGTTGAGGTCTTCCAAAGCAAGGCGATAAGAGCCTTTGGATCTCTGTGCGGAAAAGAACGCACAAGTCTGAAGACTGCTGCAAGGGAAGGGTAGCAGTGATTTTAACAACGACTATAAAAAAAAATAGTGGTTAGACTTGTAGGGTATATATATATATGTATTTAAACGTATTACAAAGGTCGACCATCTATGGATATGTAAAACTATATAAATTCGAACCTCTTCTGAAAGGGTGAACAAATTGGGCGCCCTAGCCCGGCCGCGGCCCGTCCGCACTCTTCGTGCTAAAGAGGCCTAGCCAGTCTGAAGATCTTTCCGAAAGCGCCCAACCCGATACCCGTCCTTCAAAATGCGAAGCCCGGCGGGGTTGGGTCTCACAGCTGCCCAGTGAGATGCCATCGCGCCATAGCCGTCCTTCCTGCTACAATCGGCGTGTGCCTCCAACAGCAGCTTCAAGCACTCGTTGTGTTTCAGGAAGCAGCAAATGTCCAGGATGGTGGTGTTCGGCGCGAATTGCATGATGCGATCATGCTTCGTGATCTTGTCGTTCACATCCTGGGATGCAAGAACAACCGCGGTTCACGGCATTGACCGTCCCCCGAAACAAATCAAGGGGGGTGTTCACGTGTGAACCACTTCACCAAGAGGGATGGAAGAATCAACAACAATGCAAAAGCACCACCCAGCATCTGCCCGGCCCTGCAACAAAGCGGATACAAGCTCGGTGTCTCCAGACAGGGCTGCATAGCACATGGGGGTCCAGCCCGATGGTTGACGCTCCAACGTGCTGAGGCCATTCTGTCGCATGAACTTCGTGACAACATCTAGGCCTTCCTCAATGATCATCAGGTCATCCACTAACTCTTCATTTAGGCCTCTCCAGGGGGTCAAGGATTGATATAAGCCAAAAAGGTAGACAGTGCTCTTTTCAAACGACAAAAACAAACAGCAACAATTTGGCTGGGCTCTGCCTACCCCCATTGTTGAAACAGTTTCAACAATCTAAAGTTAAAGAGCGGGAATCCGCAAGCATGAATGCTGTGCCTCTCAACAAAACCACCTGAAAGCTCATCATCACCCTGAAGTTGTGCAAATCGCCTCCCATCTAAAGCGAGGACCATGCGAACAAAAATGGACAATGGACTTCGATTGGATAATCAACTCCTTCTTGCCAAATTAGAAGTTTGTTTAGTTGCTATTGGTCATTGGCTCATCTTTGGACAACAGCGGTTACACTTGCATTGATGTTCACCCAGGATTCCAGTGAAGCTTTGAACTACCAGTTTGACCAGTTTTCCAGAAACAGAAAGAACATTGTCCACAACATGGTTCCTACATCGAGCCTGAGAGCACGCAGGCTCGATCCGAAAAATCTAGATGTAGGCTGTAGAAACATATTTTATGCATAATATAATATTTGTATATATCTCACATTCATGCATCAGAATGCCTTAAGAATGTCTGGGTTAAAGCCCCAGGAGTGACTGATGCCGCCATTCAGACGAGTTGATCCAGCCCTATCCGTTCCGAAGCAGTCCAATAGATAGACCCTACGACTCGCTCCAAAATACCTGCGAGAGATCTGTGAAAACTGTCCCAAAGACTCCATGAGACTTGTATTACAAACACAAACTCTTCCAATCCCTGCGCTTCTATAAATCTCAATTCCTGTGCTGCTGCCTGTCCCAAACATTCCATGGGGGGTGTATGGGGGTGTATTCTATGGAGTGTCTCCGTTGGTTGGATCAGTCTGGATCAAACGCTTCAGTTGATGTCGGGTAGGCTTGCCTGTGTTAAGGTAGTAGTTCATCTTTTCCCGCAATAAAGCTCTCACCTCGGGAACCCCGTGCGGACATCGAGGCGTGTCTCACGCAGCTGGCATGAAGCTGGCAGGGTGTTCTGCTGGGAGGCACACCCATGCGTAGTGTTCTGCTGAATTGACCTTTACGGACACCCAGTTTGTGACCCGTTAGAGATGGAGGGAACCTGCTGGACTGAGACGGACCGGGCTAGCCTATCAACAGTAGAGGCCGGGAGGGCGGGTGAAGAAAAGGCTTCTCTGTGTTCTTCATGGAAAACACCTGCTTCGACCATCGTTTGACCAATCTATACAGTATACCTTCGATCAAAGAAGAGACAGGTGAGACAGGTGTCAAATAGCTTTGCTGTTCTATGCTGTTCTTACCACTCGAAGACACTCGACTCCGCCTCCAAGCCACTGCCTGGCCCACCTTGGCCCGATCAGAGGCGACGCTAAAGGCGCCTTCGCCCACGGGATATTTCACCCAGTCGAAGGTAGCTGCCAAGATCTGGTGTTGAGGACTTTGCACCCTGAGCGTGGACATGTGACATGGAGCATTGGAATGGGCCACCTGCGAGGCGACCCTCGGACCCGAGTGTCCTGGGTAGACTGGTCGATTTCCACCGAACCCCAGGTGGAGGGGGTACACATCGCACCCAAATAGACGATGCATGGAAGCGAAATCCAGGGTGGTGGGCCATTGGGTATGGTCGTTGAGTGTTCGTGTTCCTTTTGCAGATCGAAGTGGAGGTTCTCCCTACGAGTAGCTATAGTTCAATACAGACCCAATTCGGATCCTCGACATAATTCAACATTGCAAACTATATTGGCTCTCTTGAATATGCGACGCTCTTCAGACTCAAGACCCAGAAGCATTCTCTGACGAATCAGGAGAATGATCGATTCAGTCAAGGGAAACCTGCTATACATCGACTATACCGGTATACATCCAGTCCAAAACGTCGGTTTAGCAGGGACCAGAGTGGATGATGATTACTCTGAGAGTAAGAACGAACACCTGAAAACCCCTTCTCCAACCAAAATAGGGGTTATACGTTATACTTTTGTTACTCTTACTGGTAATGGGCCACAGCTCCACACCCCAGGAACGAGTTCCTTCTCCAAGGAACTCGATCATCACCCCCGCATCTTCATGCTTGCTCAGGGCCCTGGACAGTCGTTCCATCCGGCACCAAGCCCGGTCAGACCAGGAGTGTTTTCCCAAGAGCTTGCCATTTTCATGCCGCACAAACCTCACGGTCCAACCAACGATGCCAGCACGAAAACAAGACATAAAGACAAAGAAAGCCTAGGAAACCAGCACCACCATTAGGTTTGCAATCACATGCAATCACCATCCAGCCAGGCTGGTGCTGGTTTTAAGGATGTTGGTCTCCGCCCAGCCACGGTGAAAGGATCACAAAGTACTTGCACCGCTCCTTGGAGGAAGCTGGAAGCTGATCAGTAGCAAAAGGAACAAAACGCAAAGAGCAACAAATACAACACACATTAACATAGTATGAAGAGTCATTCTGTTAATGAGTAGAACCAGGGTTCGATGTATGCTGGAATGCTGTTGATGGCTAAGTTCAAAGAACTTGCATAGGCCGGGTCCTCGAGTTGAGCAAGACAAGCCAGTGTTCCAACTGTCGAATATCCTTTCTACACGGGTACAATATCATCTTTCTACACGCCTCTGGCACCTTCCTTGCAGGAGAAGTCTCAATGATTAAAACATGTCTGTCCTGTCGGGGATCCACAGGGTTGGTTGCAAAAAATACGGTGATGATAGTTTGTACAAGCCAGCTGGCAATCAATGACGCACAAACTATGCACCAACTGTCGAATTACCTCCAAAAGAACTGCGGCTTGTCCATGCACATGTCAAGCATTGCAACCTCCAAGGCAACCCAAACCAACGAAATCACCTGCCTGCGGGCAGCTGAAGAAGTCATACCAAATGAACAGCTCATCCTGCGACTTCGCGTGGCGCGGAACCTTCAGATTCAGCAGCTCAGCAGGGATGCAACGCTGCTTGCCATGCACTCCCTGCTTGAGAGCTTCCTCGCAGGAAGTGGCAGAACGATTTCGGCTTTCGCTCAAAACCAGGGTTTTGGCTGTGGGGCCAGCAATGAGCTTGTCAAAGCTGAGTTGCCAATAGGAACAACACCATACAACACCCATTTCCCTTCATCACGACGGGGTTTTATCTTGGATGGCAGCTGTCCTCACCTTGTCCCCGCACAAACCAAACCAAACCCAAACAAAAAAAACATGAACAAGAACAAGCAAACAACACCAACTACCACTGCTACCACTACGACTTTTCTATGGGATAATTACATGGGAAGCTAGACTGATCAAACATATTGTTTCAGTGCCCAAACTCCATCAATCGACCTGCAAGATTTACCAGACCAGAGTCTCTTGAGGACTTTTTGCAGCACAGGCCTCTGTCCAGTTCCAAACTGTCAAACCCCTCACATGAGCCGAGGTGTATTTTCATCATCTGTCGGTGGATGTGAATGGGAAATGATGGATTTCGCCCACATGCTTCTCGTAGTCCCTCCATGAAGATCAACATAGATCAACTCAAAAATCGATGAACTCGAAACATCCCTGACATTCCCTGACTACTAGTAACAAGAAGCTACCATGGGCTCCTGGCCTTACTACTAGGAGCAAGGACGCTACTAGGGGCTCCTGGCAGTACTAGTAGCATTCTTACTACTATAGTAGCAAGAAGCTACTGGACCATCCCTGAAACACCATCCGCCCCACGCTCGACGGACCCGGCAGGTTCCTGGAGCACGCGGAACTGATCCCCTGAGCGGTCGGGATGGCCCAGCGAAGTCCACTGGTGCGACACAAAGATGGCCTGGTGTCAGTCTGTGCGGGCGATTGGAAACCAGGAGCCTGTGGTGGTGTGTTGCTTGAGGAAAAACAACAGCGGTAATTACGTATATAGATGTACGTTGGTTTCAGGGACCCCTGCATTGCAAAAGGACGCCTTAAATGATGTGCGATCTGTGTGCGGGTCATGATGGCGTGCTTTGCGAACTGCTGCTTTTTGAAGCAGCCTTCGAGCATCATTGCCACCTGGCAGAACATAGTCCTTCAAAAAAATCCAAACCTAGTCCTAGTTGCAGGTTGGGGAAGGTATCTTCACCGGAACCAAGATTGAAGTAGAACAGTCGAACCTATTTCTAGAGACAAGCAAGAGCCCGAGTGGCCCAAGCCCTTCAGGTTGGTGATTGGTTTCCCATTTCCAGGACCATTTCCAGTCTTTGGTTGCCATCCAGTCAGTCACCCAAATGGGGTCATGGCGACGCCGGTTTTGACCACCAGAATAGGCCACCTGGGAGGTCAACCTACCCTGGGCTCTCTGGGGGTTTTGACCCGTTCACGGCCAGACTGGCCTCGCCCTTGGACCGGCGTGAAAACTCCACCAAAAGCCCTTCGTTCATGAGCTGCTCGTGTGGCTTCACCTCGAGCATCCTCGGAAAACACGGAAAACATCCAACAACACCGCCGAATGGGTTGGAGTTTTGACTCCAAAGTCGCCTCCAAAGCCGCCTCCAAACATGGTCGAGCATCAGAAATATGACACAAATATCAGACTACATTCATCAACATCAACATACAGGTACCGGGTAAGCCATACTAAACCAGCCAAAACTGGGGTCAAATTCTGCGATCATACAGACGACCGTTTGGATCCGATGTGTTTGACTCCCAGATCTGGGCTCGGAGAGCGGGTCAAATGGCCGCTCAAACAACGGGAAGGAGAGCCACATCACACAGATCTGGGTTGCTTCCACATGTTGTTGATTTTGCTTTTTTTACATAGTGTAATGTCCGTCTACTCACTATCCCCAGCAAGAATTGCTGCTCGCGGGGTTGGTGTGAGTGTGGTGGGCTGTGCCCAACCCACTGGTGACACGGTTTGTCTTTATGTTTGCTTCCTCATATTTCATCGAACTGCAGTATCAAGCTACGCGGATAGCTTTGTGTGACCATTGGCCAGTGTAAGAGATAGGATAGGGTTCACATATATGAAGAGGTTTCTCAATTCAAATGGGGTGGGTATATTAATCAAGCGTCTACATTAAGAATCTACCACATTGGCATTGGAACGATCTTTGTTCCATGAAGCTACGCCGACTGGGACCTGTATTTGTTCCAGTGAGCGTGGAGACAAACAGCCGCTACCAGTCTTGCTACGACTGACTGAAAGTGGGGATGAGACCGGTTTGGCTCGTTCTTAACACAGGGTGGTCCTCTAAATCCACTTAATAGACGTACATTTGGGATCATTTGGGCAACGCTTCATCAGGACACCCAGCGGATGTTTGATTCGCCACGTTGGGGAAGCACACACACACATATATATATATATATTATGTAAACATGCACGACCTCCTATCGGAGCTCTTAAAAGGTCGTTCTGCCAGTTCTACAACGAAGCAACCCTTCACCCTTCACCCTTCACTTTGTTAAAAACCCTTCTTACTCAACCTTCAGCCGGAAGGGGAGGCCAACACAGGTGTTTTGTTCCGGAACAAGGGACGACCGACCAGAACCAGTGGATCCCAGGCAGCCCAGGGATCCATGTGGAACCGTTTGGTCTATGGCTTTTTGCGAACCAGAAACAAAGGCATGGAACTCCAGCACAGGTTCAAGAACCCTATAGACTATCCTATAGGTACCCCTCTAGGGTCCTATGAGGTCACCTCTGTTGGCTCCCCAAAGAATCTCAGGCAAGCCATATTGAGCTGTGTCGAAAGCCTATTGGAAATGGCTTTAATCCTAGCATCCTTTCGCGACAGGCTATCGCGGTCCTTTCGCGACCACAGCTGAAACCAATCTAAATCATCAAAGGAGCTCGCTTCCGGGACCACCCACCCCAAACACTCCATGGGACTTGAACATTTACCTACACTGACCCCTTGAAACAAGCACTCTCATTGATCGGTTAATATGCCAGTCCCATGGAATCCCAAATATTCCAATCAACGAAACCTTGGTCTTTCACTAACCCATAGGGAACCCCGTGACCCCGTGACCCGTGTCTTTTTTACTGTAATTCTTTTGTAACTATCATGTCTGCATCGTCAGTTTTCCGTTTCGGGCACAAAGGGCAGCTTCGTCGTATCTCTGGGAGATACGTGCAGGTGAGTGGTGCCATAGCTATGTCTTCCTGTTCCACAAGACCCAAGTCGAAGACCTAAAATGTTCCGTGCCTGGATTTACTGGAGATTTACTGGACTCGTTGGAAGACAAATCGCATCTTTACAGCTTTTGGAAGTTGGAGGCTGTGGGGTCGGGTCGGGCGTGTCCATGTCCCACCAAGCTTCTCCAGGCATACTCGAAGTGTGACTACAAACCTCAGATAAAATAGCTGCTAAATAACTATATAATATATATATAGCTTCTAATTCTATAGCTTTGGACTCTCTGGAGCAAATATGAGCTATAGGAAACCATGGCTAAAACAAACACGCACCGAGAAGACGTTCCAACGAACCACTGAGGCTTCAAATCGATACGAAACATTCACATGATCAATACAACAACAGGTCAGCGGAACATCTGTTGTGACCTACCTGATTGACCTGTGAACATCTGTTGTTCGTTGGAATGTTTGGAGGAACCACGGGCACACCAATAACATTGAGCCCCAACTTCAACCACCCCAATGTAGATCAATATGGCATATATGGGAAATAGCTTGTGTGATGACACCTGAATGTAGGATTATGTAGGTCTGTGGGCCACTGGGCGGATCTTCGTGTTCTCGCATCATTCGCATCTCTGATGTCTCAAGCACCGAACCTCGATCTGGTTAGGCACTTGCTTTGTTAGCCATTCGAGTCTTTGGGGGAAAGGTCTTCGACCTACTTCGACTGTTAAGGGGTGACATGGCGTGACTGTGATAGGGGTGACATGTCGAAAGACACTCGTTTTCTCCAACTTCGGATTTCACGAAGTTCAGCTCCATGTGCAGCTCCAAGGGACATTTTGAAGAACATCTCCACAGAGCTATACGTCTTCAAGCTCGGCGTGGTCTCCATCCCGGCGAAACCCGGGATGGCTCCACCGGCTTTTTCGCCACGCGGAGGGGTCCGGTCCGGTCGCCAGGGGGAGGTTGGCGTGAGGCTGCAAAAGGCCGCAGGGGATGTGGCACATATAACCCCTCGATCCGAATGAGCCTCCAAAACCTGGTAGTTTTTTGACCCCCTATCCAAGGGGTGTGTGTGTGTGTGGGTTTGTGGTGTACTTCTCCACCTTCATCTTCCATGTTTTCACCCAGCACCGATCCAAACAGCCAACACGATGTTCACGAATGACCACAATGATCACCCAATATCACCCCAAGACCCGAGAGCATGAGATATTTGGGGGCAAATCGGAAATTCATTCGTTTCGTTTGAACCTCAGGTTCATCCAACTCCCGCCCTGACCACCCCGAACACCATCTCTCGATGGAGTCGAAGCTGAAAAACCCCCGAACACCGATCAGCCCCCGGTCAGCGCCTTTCTGCGGGTGTCCTTGCACGAGCTCCAGGGATGGCAAGACCTGGAGTTGCCGTCCAGAAAGCAAGCGGGAGAAAAACACATTAAAACTCTTCCCCGGTGGATTCGTCCAGTTTGGGATATTTTCCCATCACCAGATCTATCCCGACGCCTGCAAGCGCTCCATGGTCTCACGGCATGTCCGTGTCACCGTGACCTTCATCGCCTGGGAGCACCAAAAATTGGCTGAAAAAGGACAGTCATATGCAGTGACCAGCCAGGAGTGCTGGGAAAATCAGTTGAAAGAATGGAATAGACATCAATCTATTGAGTTCTATTGAGTTTATTGATGGAGTATATAATCTGGCCGGAGTAAATGTCAACAGTCTATCGATTGATTCAACGTCTAGCCGGGAGTGCCAGGTGTTGGGAAGTTTTGGGGGACATCAAGAGTGACATCACGTGCCCTGACTGAACTTTCTCACACTCAACTTTCCTGAACTTCGTATACGGCAGGTTCATGATCGAACTTTCTGCCCCGTATAGGGCAGGTTTTCTTAACTCAGTTCTCCATTCAGGTTCAGGTTCCCAAATTTTTCGTATACTCCCTTTTTTGCCCCACGGACCCACCGCAGCCTCCGGTTCTTGAACTTTGGGCAATGGACTCGCCACCGACGCATACCGCAAGTCACCTGAGGACATGACTGGGTGGACGCTATGCTCGGTTGAAGGCCATCGCAAGTAGGTTGGAGGCCATCGCTACTACTAGTAGTAGCGATGCCCTTCACCTCCGCTTTTGAAGGTCAAGAGAAGTGTCAGGGTGCGCATAACAACGTCGGTGCGTAGTGACAGGGTGTCGGTGCGCCGTCCTCGAGGTTGGGGTCGAGCCAGTCCCATGACCAGTCAGACTGGCCGAAAACAGCCGGACGGCAATCCTGTTGAACTCGTTGTGTCTTTCTCTCTGAACATACTGCAGCCTCACAAACATGATGGAAGCACTGATGGAGGCTGGTGGCGTGTTCTGTAATTATTGCGAAGGTTCTATCCACACAGAAGTATCGTTTGTCCAAAGTCATTCGGCGCATCTTTGATTCATGGTGAAGAAAAAATATACTGCATGTAGCTATACTGTAGATTTGCTAATGATGATGGTCTACGTTTACGGTCAACATGAGGTTTGATGCAAACCAAGATGGAGCTGGCTTTGACCGCAGGTACGGTATTGGCCATTGATTGTGCTGTCTTGAAACAACATCCCTCCATCAATCAGAGTTGCTGTGGAATGACAATAGCCGCTTTAGCCCATGTTCATACTCTGTCAATAAACCATGCGGACCATGGACCGTAGAAATCACATCGTCTAAAGGCCTGCAAAGACCGGACTGAATCTCGTAAAAGATGAGGGAGGATAGGGAGGATACCTGGAAGCCCAATAGACTCGACCTTTTTGTCAGACAAGCAATATGACCCAAACAATCACTGCCCATTTCTAGCCATTTTTTGGAACTAACTGCACTCTTTTTCGATATCTTGGTTCTGCACACTTTCAGCCTGTTATGACAAAGATGTTTACCAAAACATACCGAAACATTCCGCGTTCCCCCGTTTTTCTTCTCTCCACCCGAGAAGCCGCTGTGACAGGCTCAGACGAGAAGCCGGTGTGGACATAGTAGAGACCTCTCAAACCTCGGACCACAAACCGGTCTCAAAAAGGACTGGACCACAAACCAAGACCAGTGACATGAAGAGCACGTCGTTCGATTCCTCTTCCAGTTGCAAGTAGCCAAGTGATTTTCCAGTTCCTGCATAGTCATAGTTCCAAAGACTATGTTTTCGGAGGGCCGCAGTGGTACACAGCTATCAGGTTCACAATTTTTGTGATCAATGCCGATCGATGCTGCTTCAAAATTAAGCTCACTCTTGCATAGTTGGAACACCGCCCATAACAGGCCGTGGTGTTGTGTACCTTTTCTGTACATTGTCATCGATTTCACAACAATTTCAGGGACGCAAATGAGCGCTCATAGCGGTGGGTATCTAATGTCTTCTGTTGTTCGAAGACGGATGATCTTCGCGTATCTTCGCGTCATGTCTACGTAACTGGAAAAACATTGATGGCTACGAAGCATGAAGAAATATGAAGAACCTGCAGTTGATGAACAGACATTAAACATAGAATCCGTGCCTCATGGTCTGTACGGGGTGGGGGTCGGGGGGGATGGGCTGGGGTGTAGTAACGCTCGGCATCTAATGTCTTCTGTTGTTAAAGCACGGATGATCTTCGCGTCATGCGTCATGTATGCAACTTGAAGACATCGTTGTCTACGATGCATGAGGAAAGTGTAGCTGATGCACGTAAGAAGAATGAAAAGGAGCTTGTGTGGCAACAAATCTCAAGCAAAACAATGGATTTCCCTAAAAGCTTCCCAAACCTTGATAGTTGGGGGCAACTTAAATTGACTGTTGAAGCGTCAACTCTAATGGGAAGTGCACAGGAGAATTGTTCCCTTATGTAAATACGCCATTCAATCCTTGAAAACGATGAACGAATCTTCACCAAGCCAAATACGTGCATTCAAATCATTTTGCTGATCAGAATGGTCATTTCGTACCACGGCCCGCGATGGGCGGTGGACCTAGTGGGGGTCACGTACCATTCAGTTGGTTCTGTCGATTTGAGAGCTCCAAGGTTCAGTACTAGTAGCTTGGGCTTTGACATCGACCAGGGTCCAGGTCCAGTTGCCGTTGTTTTTCCTGCCTCTTGCTACAAGGGTGCTGAAACTGTTGGTTGGATCCTGATCCATGAGCCCGGGAAAACCGTTCCAAAACAGTTGAAACAACAAGTCTTTTTCAGAATGTTCCGGATGAATGGGAACATGTACAGGAATCTTGGAACACTTCGTTTTATCTTGTAAAAGATTGCCCCTTGGAAAACACACGCACACCCATTTACTGCGCAAAGTCCACTCCCAAAGCACTCCTGGTCATAAGAAACATCACCGAAAGGCTTCTCCCACAAACACAACAACATTGCAGTCATGGCACCCGACACTCTGGTTCACCTCTACCATGAACCGAACGAAACTAGAATAGGGGGCAGCAGGGGACAAGTTGAAAATAGCTTGCGTTGAAGATTCGTTCACTGATAGGGGGCTGCAAGGGGGCAAGTTGGAAATATAGTTTGTGTTGAAGATTCGTTGACATGGTCTACAAATTGCATGCTTTGGGCGGTTAGTGACGTTTTGCATGATTTTGACATGTGGCTGTGGGTCAACACCGCGTAACGCTGGTTGACCACTGAAAACAAACTGATTCTCCCAATTGCAACAAAATAACGTAATTTAATGTTAACATATGTCAACCTTCCATGGTTTGTAGAATGAGGTTTTGATCAACACCCATGACCCATACCCACCTCTGAGCAGTTTCGAGGCAACTTTCACGAATTGACAGTGAACACCCCGCCCTCTATATGTCCAGTCACGTGCGATGAGCTCGCTGCTCTCCTTGCGCCAACCGATCTCCACCTTGGCTCCAACCCCCAAAAAAGAAAGAAACGGCGGACCATGGCGGACCTGTGCACCCCTTTCCCTGCAGAACCAATATCCAAATGACTTCCACCACGCAAAAAACATGTCAGATGCGTAAACCACACCAACTTGCAAGCATTGACACACCAATTTGTAGAGATCTTGATCTCCAAATTGGGGATGTGTCTCGACTCCGATCTGTGTCGCCCAGGCACCAGCCACCACAGACTTCGACGCCTCACGGTGCAACACGCCCCCGGGATCCGCGCGCCACGCCGGTCGGAAGAGTCTCCGCCTTTCCCATCCAAACGGTCCCGTCCAAGGTACCCGGTGCCGGACGTTTGACTTTAAAATGACATCGTCTCACCTGAAGACCATCATCTCGAGACATGCAGTCTTGAACTCCCCAAACAGATGGAGCGAAGTCTCGAAGAAAGACACCAAAAACACACCCAGCTGGATCCTCAGCAGCGACCCAATGCATCCTTGGCGACGACCAAGGATCCAGCGGCTCGCCTGTTTAACCAAGTGACAAATGGACCCAGTAGCAGGCAATCAGAAGGGTGCCCAGCCACAAACTCCTGCCGGCTGAGGGCAGGATGCGTAAAGCACAAAGAAAAAGCGCATCCTGCCCACCGAATCCCCGCGTAGCGAGGAGCCAAGATACTTGGAAGCTCAAAGGTTAGACTCTGAAAACTTATAGACGTCAGACTCATAGTGCCTCTCAATGTGTTCAGGCCTTGCCTATTATCTTAACTACTCAAATACACCCCAAGCCCAGTGGATTCATGATGCTGCCTCTTTGTGCTGTTGTGCTCGCAGCGTCAAAAACCCTGACGTCTAGCAGTACGGCCAGGAGCCCCTAGCAGCGTCCTTGCTCCTAGTAGTAAGGCCAGGAGCCCCTACAAGTAATAGCGTCCTTGCTCCTAGTAGTAAGGCCAGGAGCCCCTATGAGGTCTGGCTTCAAAGAAGGACACCTGAATGGTTTGGGGATGTTTGGAGTGCCATCACTCATAGTCGTATGATGGCTTGAGCGCCTGTAGTCCCAAATCCAACATTTCCCACCCTGCGCAGTGGCTCTCCAGTGCTGGAACCACAGGGTGCCAATCAGCAAGGCGCCTGCTGATGACTCCCAAAACGTCCAGTCGACTCGCCGGTGATGACGTACGGATTTCACGGATTTCTCCGGATTTTGCTGGGCATCGCTACGAACGGAGCGGTCGGACGCTAGGAACGGGGCGCTCCTGGCCTTACTACTAGGCTACTAGGAGCAAGAAGCTACCTAGGGCATCGCAAGTTGCTATAGTAACAAATGGGCATGGTCGTCTGTTGATGGTCGTCTTCCGGCGAGGTGGTCGTCTCCCTGAAACTGACAAACGTGCGATGGTGACGTCTGCCCGTAAGGAAGACCCTTTTCTGAAAACCGAACAGGGGGTGAACTCTACCCCAAGTTACTTTCAGGGAGAGTATACTGTGGGCACGCCTGGATGGATCTGACACAGGGACCAACTCGCCGACATCGCTGATCAAATTCCATGTGTCTAGCTCACTGGAGGTCTAGAATCATGAAGGTGGAAGTTGGAGGTCGGTGGGGTCTATGATCATGAAGTTCACTGGAGGATACTAAATCCCATTCACTCTGTTCTGGGGCTTCGCACGTCGGCTTCGCACTGCAGCGTCACCGCGCTCAGAG